AAGGAAGGAAGGAAGGAAGGAAGGAAGGAAGGAAGGAAGGAAGGAAGGAAGGAAGGAAGGAAGGAAGGAAGGAAGGAATTGATACTAATTTCTAACTTTTTTTAGGCTCCAAAGGGTGTGAAGCACACAAAACAAAAGACATTGGGTCACAAACTAAAGGACTTCAAGTTGTGCTGTAAGGTGGGGTGTCAGCAGCATTTTCCAAAAGCCTCCCAGAAAATTCCTGGGTCAAATTTGGAGCTGAGAATCCCAGTCTCTGTTCTTAGCAGTTATTTTGCATGCAGTCACTCTGCTGGGGAGGTAAGAAGATCACACAAGCAGGAGAGTTGCGTGCCAGCCCACCCTGTGTTTGGGAACGCTCTTGCAGTGTTTCATTTCCCAGTGAAAATGTAGTCACAGTGCTCATCTTTCTCTCACCTGAAGCCATGGATAATGATTTTGGTTTCCAGGCTGCTGTTGAAGCTGCAGTTCTTGATGCCATCATCAGCTGAAATCAGCTCTCCACAGCTGGGGCTCGAGGAGGTGAACAGAAGAAACTGGACCTTCAGTTTGCTGCCCCGTAGGAGATTTGCTGTCTGGAAGTCAGTGCAGTGATGCCCTGAGAGTCTGTCTGTATTCCCTGCACAGGGGGAAAGTGGCACATTTAGTCTGTGTCTGTGCAATGGGAAAAAAACACCCCTCATTCAAATTCATTAGGAAAATGAAGGTAGCAATTTCACTTCCATTAATAAAGATTGAAAGTATAGAGCATACATTAAAATAAGGCAATTCTGGAAACTTTACCTGACTGATAAAGTTGTTTCTGTCCTATGATGGAATTCCAGCTCTCTGGAAAAATAACCATGGATGTAATACCAGCTTTGACTTCTGAGAGTTGCTTCACCAGGAGGTGAGTGATATTTTGCTGGGTTTTTTTAGCAAATTGGCCACCTACACCAGCCACTAGGTACTTTTATGAGGTGGCTGTTAGATCTTTAAAAAAAAACGGCTGCTGACAGGTAATCACCACTGAATGGGGATATTTCTATTCAAATTCTGGTAAGCTCAGTAAAAGATACAAGTCTAACTGACAATTGCATCAAAAACCCAGAAATAAGTATGAGAGTGCTCATGATAAAATATGAGAATGCTGATGAAAAAATATGTCAATGATAATTTCACTATTGATTCATTTACTGGATGAAAATGCTTTATGAGAAAGAAAAGGTTACTGCTGGAAGGTACTTTGACCTAGACAGAAAAAAATAAATATCTGACCTGTAGCTAGAAAAACACCTGAGCAAATTTAGAAAGCAAGCACAAAAGTTCAGCAGTATGAGTCACTTGCAGTGTTACTTTAAGAACTGGCATAGTGGCATCCTGCTGCAATGACAATACATGCACCTTCCCTTTCCGGACTGAAGGAAGTGAAACAGCCTTGAATCTGACATATGGTAAAATAATAATTCATTTATGTATTTTTAAATCAAACAACTAGCTTCCAAATTTCCCTCAGAAGATATTTTACACCAACTAGACAAAACGTGGCCCATGGGTCAGCACAAAGGGGTGAGATCCAATATTCAGATTCCCCTAGAAGGATGTGACCATCCCTTACTGTTGTTTATTTCAGTCTTCCTGTGCATTGACAAGGAAGACAGACACTTTTAGAGATCATCTTGGAAAAAATGTAGGCCCTGCTCCAGTCTAATTAGCAAAAGTGGGTCCCGTGCAGCACAGTGAGTGTCAGAAATGACGTGAAATGAGGGGGATCGTCAGTAAAGGCAAGGCAGGAGGTGCAGGGCAGTGAAGCTGCAGGTGATGTGGGACTGCAGATGTGATCACTAAGGCAGCCTCACTGACAGTACAGTTAAAGAAAGAAATGGAAGTGTGGCATTTGTCTATTTTCTCTCAGCTACTGCAGATGACACTTGCTGTGCTTTTGAAGCAGGAGATGCCACTGCCAGAGGCCAAGTGTTCCCTTTTCTGCATCCTTACATTTCAGGGTAAACCTGCATCATTCTTGTAAATCAGGTTAATGGAATTAAATCACTGAGAGTGATCGAATCAAAGTATAAGAGAAGAAAGGTCCATTCTTGCACTACTTTTTCTCCCCAGCACCTAACAAGATTATTGCAAGGACCTCTTGACATACAGCTTGTTTAGGGAGAATTGAATTCAGATCCTTCTCTGTAAGATCTTCAACCCTTGCCAGGCACTCATGTTTTTCTTACCTGTTTGTGCTGAGCTGGGCAGCAAGAGGACAGCAAGAACAACGAGCAGTTTTCTCTTCAGATCTTCATCCATCTTCCTGTTCGTCCAATACAAGCATAAGGATTGTACAGGGGAAAAACAACTGTGGTTAATGATCAGCTCGACTCTGTAATGATCAATCAGCCTGTGCACTTTTGGGAAAATGACCGAATTTGGATTTTGAGCAATTACCTCTGCTCTTATTTAACCATTAGTCAAAATTTGAAGCAGAGGCTTCACTGACTTTTTGGTTAAAGAAGGTGTTGATCTTCCTTTCCTCCCTGCCTCCCTTTCCTCAAGGGAAACTTCTCACTTCATAAATCAGCCAGTGAAACCAGTCCCAGCAAGCGATAGAATTACAGTGCTTTATCCTTGCTACCTAGACTTTTCTGCCAAATGCTGAGTAGGGATGCTGGTTTATCACAAGGCTGCACAGTAAGTCTATGCCAGGAAGATTCGTATCAGCCTTGCATCGTATTTTTCTACTGCATTGCTGCCTTTCCTGTATTTCTACTTTTGGTCAGATACCAGTAACAGTCTAAATAAGGCAGAAGAGTGGATTACATATGAAAAGTGAGGGGAAAGGCAGGCTAAAATGTAACTGGTGGTCATATTACCATAACATGTCCAGACCACATTTTTTAGGGCTTCAGTAATGCACCAGCATCATAAGCGTGCAAATACTTTAAAGAGACCTTTGAATAAAAAACTTTACCACTTTGATGTGTACAGATGGAGAAGCATACGTGCACACCCAAATGTGTAACACAATTATAATGTGGAGGTACCATATTCCTGGCTGAGATGGACTTTCAGGTAAGGACACACCTGTATCCTCTGTGTTGGTCCATCGTGCTCGACAAGGCAGCTTCGCCCTTGGCGAAATGGCAGGAAGGGCAATGAGCAAAGTAAAGTTCCTGTCCAGGTACTAATCTACTGTGGCATAGTTGAATAACAAAATAAAGAAATTTCTTCAGTCTGATCAGAAAGATGACCAAAGACATTTCAAAAAGCATCAGGCATTACTTTTCTTTAGAATTACTGGTGATAGCAGTAATTTCCTCACCCCAGATTGTTCCAGCTGAAGGCTTTGGGGCTGTTTTAGGCAGAAGATCATTTTATTTCCAAATCTTCTGAGATAAATTTCTCCAGTTTGCACTGAAAGTTAGGCAGCCTCAGCTGCCTGGCCTGGAGGACTCTTGAAGCCTCAGCCCAACTTCATCCTCCCAGACATACATGCAGAGATACCTTCTGAGCCTGAAGTACTTGCCTCCAGAATCGAGCAGGCTTATTGTCAGAGAGGCAGGTCCTCTCACAAATATGTGATTGTGTTTTTCAACTCAATCAATTTTCCAAGGCTGAAAGCTGCAATGCCAATTGCCATCTCCTAGCTTCCAGCCCATTCTTCATCTTTCCATCCCCAGCACCAGATTAATCTTATTTTATTTCACAAATCTCAGATTATAAAATAAAGCCTGTGCACTCCAATGGGCTCATTGCTTCTTTTCCAAGTCCTGTGGAAATTCTGAAATGCCATGTAATATAAAGCAGGCACCAGTATTACAGCCCTAGAGTTAAACAAAACTTGGGCCAAGATGTGCAAGATCTGTTTTTATTTTGTGATTTGCAGAGCTGTTAAACAACATCCTGGTGTTGGACAATTCTGCAAATGCACAAAACTGGTGGTTTTTAAAAAAGAAATGTCTTAATAAAATTGAAAATTCTGTTTCCTGAGTAGTATTTTTTTTCTGACTTCTCAGATTTAGTAATTCCTGGAGTTGTTTTTTTTTTTTTTATTATAGCAGCACACTGTGTGATTCCTTATGCAACCAGCAAAAGCCACTCAAGTTACTCTGTGCTTAAAATGTTCTTGCTAGTTCAACTGTTTTGGTATGAAGGGTTTTCTTTTTATTGCTTGTGAACTTAATTACAGAGTAATTACAGTTATATTAATTCAGAAACTTAATTCCACTTATCTTGCTTCCCAATGGGAGTGATTATAATGGCAATGGGAGCACTGTTGCAAAGACTTTCAAACCACTTTAGATTTTGTTTAACAGTCCCTTATAGAGCACAACCATGAGGCACAGTGTGATTTGCTTGAGTATGTCAAGGATAGTGAAAGCAAACAAACTTGATTTTATGCACAGATTGTTTTAATTAAAAAGAAAATTTCAGAAATGTGCTTTCTGCATATTCAAGCAAATGCTGAAAGTGCCCAACTCAGCTGAAAGGAGTCCCCACCCACAAAGCAACAGCTGGTAGAGGCACATAAGCACTGCAAATATCCTGTTGTCAAGTGGAAATCTCATCACAGGAAAATTCACTTAGCCTGGAAAACTAATTTTTGATACTGGAAACAATGCAATTGGCATAGCAGCACCTTGGGGGAAGCTAAGTGTGAGATAAGCAAATGATGACTATTTAAAACCTCTCCCTGTGGCCTTTGAACTTGAAGAAGGGCATTAAATACACCTTATTTAAATTCTGGATCCCCTTACTGCTGGAATACTTGATCTCAGAGCTCCTGTATTTTCTGTCATTTGCCTGTGAAGTAGAAACCATGTTAAGCATGTAGACTCCTGTGTATTGTTCCCAGGACTGACAGAGGAACCGGGATTAGTTCTCATCTCAACAAAAAGTAATTTGAACTCTTGGCTTTCAGCAGTGTGTCTCAGCAATGGCAGAGCAGGATGTATGCATTAAAGATTGTCTTGGCAACTGAGGAAGGGAAAATATGGGCAAGTCTGCCTGGGTACTCTGTCAGGAAAGGAGGAAAACCAGCAATCTGAGCCTTTTTTGAGTACTTTATGGATCTTTCACCTGTATAAGTATACATAAGGGAGAATGCATCCTTACCATGTATTACCAAGTTGAAGAACCTAGCTGAGGGCACCAGCCTCCAGGTTCAAGTTTCTCTCTCAGCTTCTCTGCCCTGTGAAGCCCTAATCATCTTCTACAACGTGGAGCAGCTCAGTAGGAACATAGGCCTGCCTTAAGAGCATGTGGGTGACCTCTGTGGTTCCTTCCACCCTAAAATAACCTATTTCAAAGTGAAACTGCTTCAAATTTCTCTCTCCTAAACTCAGACATTTCATGACCTGGAGGAAAGTTGTAGTGTGCAAGCATCCTCCCAGCAGCAAGATTCAATCCAAAGCCTCTGACATCTTGAGAGAACATTTTACCTGAGAAGAGGATGAGTCAGCAGCACTCATGGCTCATGCCATGAGAGTGCTGAAGGAATGTGGCCATGTTACATTTCTGGCATAAACACTGTGACTTGGAGCCTTCACAGCACAGGGAGCTCCTTTGGATGCTTGTCAAAAATTAAGAACAGAGGGGAAAAAGTAACCAATGGTTACTTTTACAAGTTAATTGTGGGTTTCTGTCACTGAGCAAAAGGAATTTATGGGATGGGCCTGTCTTCATTTGTGAGTTGCATGTCATGATGTTTCAACACAGCTATGGAGAAAGGATCAGTATTATTCTGTTTTTTGTAAGAACTGAATGAGACAGCATTGCTCAGCTTAAGATGCAGCGTCATTCCACCTCATGCAGCAGTTGTCAGTGAAGAGTAAAAGGAGCTTACAGTAACTCCTAGAAGAAAGGGGGAAAAAATCCCTGAGGTGGAATAACTTCAGTGTTTACTCTGGAAAAGGACCTCTGCTTAGAGACATCCATGGCTGCCAATTTTTTTCAGATTCTGTTGTGTGAAGTGCAAAGCTGAGGTCTCTCAAAGGGATGGTGAATAGCCCAGCACAGCTGCTTGTCAGTGAATGTGGGGGCCAAGCGTACTGGGAGAGATCTGGCTGAGAGACAAAGCTGTGGTGAGAGCCTCCCTCGCAGCACTGTGCTGTGCTGCTGCTCCCCAGGACAGACAGACAAGCTGCTGAGAGCTGAGCATTGAGGCTGTAGGGTCTGCACCTGGACTCTTCTCAGCCAGGGTAAAGCACTGGGAGTGGGATACAGGCAAAGGAGGTTAAAGCATCCACTCACAGCAGCTCACTGCCATGAGAGGAAAGCTTACTCACAGCTGCCGCTGGAGTATTTGTCAGAGTAGCAGTTTTTTAACAGTTGCTGAGTACTTACGTTTTCCAAACTCTTGTGGTATTTTCCCTTTCTTCCTCAAAAACACGCAGTAGTGTCAAGAGGCCAGTCGTCCATGAAACAGAATTTAAGTGTGTTTGAGTTTTGTGAATGGGCTGTTGAGCAGCTGGTGTCAAAGAAAACCCCTAGAAGCCAGAGCTGTTTTTTGTTCTATTTCGTTTCCTACACTCACCATCCCCAGAGAACAACTTCATCTTGGGTGGGACAGGAGAGCATGGCCAGGCTTGGCCTTCAGCTCACCCCTCAAAAGGAGGCATTGCCAGGTGTCCCTTGAAGAAAACAGTGGACATTTTTGGGAGTGTTAAACACCAGGTTTCAGGGAGCATTAGGAGCCGAGGTGTCCCTGCCCAGGGCAGAGGGGTTCGAACTGACCCAAACTATTCTGTGATCATTTTCTAAGGCGGCAAGCTGCTTGCTGAAATTCTCTCTTCACCTAACCTGCGCAGCTCCCACTCCACACTAAACTGATTTACTTTCAGCTTTTCAATTATCAGAGATGAACCTCCCTGATGGAAGAGCAACACGACAACTTCTGTGGCCAGCACCTGCTGTCGCCGCTCCCCAGGAACCACAAGCCCCCATCGCGGCACCACCTGGCACTGCAAGGCCCCGCATGGCATCCCGCACCGCACAGGACGTGCCTCGGGGGGCGGCTGAAGCCCCTTTTCCCCGATCCCCCGGTTCCCAGAAGTGGCCCCGGGC